ATTTGATTGATCGTGTCCAAAGGGCACTAGTGACAGACCCTCGCAATTATATGACAACCGAGGTCGTCCTGGGTAGAGTAAACTTAAACGTGATTTGACTTAGTGTCGGTCACGGGTCGAGAGCGCGTAATTCCAGAGAGCCACCCGTTAGCCAGAGATAAGCTAAAGTTGCGATTGCTCGATTTTAGTCATTTCTTGGAATTCGGGCCCGGGAATCGAGAATTTTGAAAGTGACAATTTTGGACGGCCGATGACGTTTTTGGCTTGGCCAACCTTGGGGCCAACCATTTCTGCAAAAAAAAAAATGGATTTCGGTTCGGGACCGGAAAAATTATGGTTTTGCCCCTGTGGACACCGATGTTGGATTTTGAGGCCGTTTGAGGTTATTTTTCGAGGCCGATGCCGTTTTTGGGTGGCCACGCATATCTGGAGTGGTTTCGGACGAAAATTGGAATTTTGGCTCGGAAGTGAAAAATAATATTATTTTATTCCCGGAACTTTGCAGTCGATTTTCGAGGGCTTAAGAAGCTAATTTCGCGATTCCGACGCCATATTATGTTGGCCACGCACCTATGGAACACGTATGTGCAAAAATTGGAATTTCGGTTCGGGATCGAAAAATTACGAAAATGCCCCTAGGCCATTTTTGAGTAATTCCGAAAATCGGTTAATTTTTGGGGTTTAACCAAGGCTGGTTAAGGCTAAACCAGGTCTGGTCAGCTTGGGTTAAGGACAAATGACCATTTTACCCCTAAATTATTGGATGAGAATGAAGGATAGCCCTTGGATCAAGGGCAAAAGTGTCAATTGGCCCATGATTTGGACACTTGGACTCCACTAATCTACCTTTGACCCCTTTGACCAGACATATCTCTCTCTCTCCTCCCTCTTCTGGCCAGAACCCCTCCCCCTTCCACGATCAGTTTCTCTCTCTCTCTCTTTCTCTCTCTCTCTCTCTCACTCTCTTCATCTTCTTTTCCTTCCATCACAGCTGCTGCTGCTGCTGCTGTTCCGCCGTTTCAGCCACCGTTCCAGCCCCGTTCTGTCTCACTTTTTAGGTAAGTGACCTCCCCAAATGTCGCCTAGGACCTCGGGTATTGTTAGGCTTGTTTAGGGCTCGGTTTAGGGTGAGTTTAGTGGCTGGTTTGCTCGGTGGTGTGTGTTGGCTGATTTCCAGTTAGGTTGCTGCTGCATCGCTGGTTTTTGTTATTTTTACTGTGACTTGTGTAGCCCGAATTTGAGAAATTGTTCTTCATGAAAGTTGTTCATAGCATCTTGAAGTATAAAATATTTTAATTTGGTAATTTTTAGAAATCATTTGATGCCATTCGGAAGTCCATCTTTGGACCGAAATAAAACTGCCCGATTTACTGTTCAACCGACCTTCGGGTCTGTTCGAATTTTTATAAATTTTTCCAGGCCTATTTTCAAAATACTTCCTTCACAAAAATTGTTGGGGACATTTGTGGCTATAACATATAAAAATTTAAAGGTTTTCCAAAATGATTTGGGTGCCGAATGAGTTGTATTTTGATGGCCTGAGGGGCTGTCCGAGCGAACCGAATTTCGTCTGACTTTGAGTGTCAAAACGAGGTATTTACGGTTAGAACTGGGTTTCGAGTTCTGCATGGAAAATGTTCATAAAGATGTTTGGTACAACATATCCAAATTTCAGAATTTTTGGAATTGATTTACTATTTATTTCAAATGGATTTCTGTCACGGTGTAACTGCCCAGTTTGGACCCGATTTTGTTCACTCTCGGTTTTTATCTCTCTCGGACTGATCAGGCGATGAAATTTTGAGGTTTAGGGAGCTTGGATTAGGGCTGTGATGTTGGGGTTTGATCGGAATTAATTTGTGCGATTAATTAATGGGATTGTGCCTTGAATGGAAATTTGTGCGTGGTTGTGTGATTGTGCTTGTTGGTTGGCTTGGAAATCATTGTGGGCTGATTTGGTTTGTGCATTGGGCTGAATGTGGTGTGGTGGCGTGCCGTGTTTGTGTAGCCGTGAAGTGTGGTGATATGGTGATGTGAATGTGCATTGAATTCGCGTGCCAAGAGCGTGTGGTTAAGTGGTGCGTGTTCGTGTGACGAGAATGCGAAATTATGGAATGTGTGTGAAGTGTGTATGTTTGGCAGTGTGTTTGTGTGGTGGCGTGGTACGTGTGGAGAGTGTGGAACGAAGGTTTGGAAATGTGGGATTGGTTGGAAAGGATCCGTCCTGAGGCGTGTTCGTTTACGCGGGACGATGCCGTCCCTGACGAGGTGACGATGCCCGGCCTGACGAGGTGTCGATGCCTGACGTGGTCAGAAGACCGTTGGCCTGATGCGTTTTACGCGGGCATGGTAGAAGGAAAGTGTGTGTAGGATTCCGTCCTGAGGCGTGTACGTTTACGCGGGACGATGCCGTCCCTGACGAGGTGACGATGCCCGGCCCGACGGGGTGACGATGCCTGACGAGGTCAGAAGACCGTTGGCCTGATGCGTTTTACGCGGGCGCGGTAGTGGTGGAAGGGTTGAGAATGAGTGAATTTGGCAAGACGAGTGAGAGGATTGTGAAAGGTGACGTGTGGTGTGAGTTCGTGTTGAGTGTGTTTGTATCGCGTGGTGTGATGCTCGATTATGGGGTAAAAACTGCTAGGCATGGTATGGGACGTGCCCAAGTGGGTTTGCTCTATAATCGGAGACACTGTAGCGGGTGATGTATTTACGTGGCATACTTGGTGTGTGGTTGACTAACGTGCGGGGACGTGCGTGAGGAATTTCAGGTAGGGTCGCGTGTGATTGTTAGTTTGGTTGATAGAATGTGTGTTATGCGTGTTTTCGTCTGGCGGTACGTGAGTGCCTACGTGGGGTTTGGGGTTGTACACTTATTGAGATTCGTCTCACGGTTGTATAACCGCCACTTTCAGACCCCCAGCCTTAGACCCGAGAAGTTTGCCTCCTCTTTTTGGAAGTTCGAGGAACCGCCTTTGGTGCCTGGTGGAATTGCAGGTGAGTGTCCAGAGGCTCAAACCCGAAGAATCAGAAGCAGAGCGGAAGGGCGACCAGTAGGCTTTCCCTAGGATATTTTAGGGGTTGTGTAAATCGAGTTGACCCATAGGGAAGTTAAGTTAACCAGACCTTGATCTTTTGTTAAAACGGTGGCGGAGTATGTTCGTCTGTATTTATGTCTGTAATATGATGTTTGTATATTTGGTATTGTATGAATATGTGGTTGCTGGATTGTTCTGTTGTTCTACCCCGTTGTCGTCATTATTTGTCCGGGGTTTTGTTATTCGCTTCCGCATGTGGCTCTGATGTTTGGGTTGGGTCGGCGACGTTCCTGGGACGTCGCAATATTTCGACCGGAGCGGGATGTCGCGAGCTCGTTGGGGTTCGGGGCGTGACAGAGATGGTCTAGCTGGTCACCGCGACACCGTTCCAATCGGTGTCTTCTCCGACGACAATGGATCCCATGGTTGATTCTTCAAACTGGGAAGCGATGGAAATCACTCGGTGGCGGTCACGATTTCAATCAATCTGGTAAAATTTACTATGGAAAAATCTTCCACGAACCTCCTCATTTTATTTTATTTTACCATAGTTAATCCAGTAAATTTAATTAAACTGCTCTTTTTCCTTCAAACCAATCCAATAGATAACGATTACAATTTCCAATTTCTTATCTTTTCAAATAATCCCAGCATCTCTAATGGAAACCCAATAAATTGTTCACATCTCTCCTGAATCAGCAAGATGGCCAATGTGTAGAAATATATTTACACTGACGAGAGACCTAACAATAACCACTACTAGTTTTTTTTATAAGGAATTTCTATATTTCTTTTTTGGTCAGAAGGAAGGAATGTCTAATTAATTTGCTAGAATAACTCTGAAGAGTAGTTGTGAGGCCTCTTGTTTGTTGTAAGACTTGGCATTTGCTCTTATTGATCAGGAAAGAATAGAACTTGCAAGACAATGAAAAAGAGAGAAATGTGAATGAGGCTAAAGCTAAAATTGGAATCAAACAGCATTAAAGCTCAAAGGCAAGAAGCACCAGATGACAAAAGAACTCCCTCTCTCTCTCTCTCTCTCTCTCTCTCTCTCTCTCTCTCTCTCTCTCTCTCTCTCGATCTCGACTTCAAACTGGTAGATCATCAGGGATGCTGGAGAGTGACGGGTGCGATGACAATGCTGAATGAGAAGAGAGGTTAAAGATAAAGAAGAAAGGCCAAAGTGTGATAAAGAATAGAATGTACATCAGTAACAAGGGCCCAAGCGCTCTGGTTTTCATGCTTATAATATACATTCCACGAATTTCTCGCCGAGTCTTCCTGCTCAATACTGACCTTAGCTTAAGTCCTCTCGCTTCTAACTCCTTTATAACTGCACATTGCTCGACACTTGAAGCATGAAGCAAGACGTCCATTCCTATCTGATCGTAAATAAATTTCAAGGTATTATCGACTCTTTGCCCTCAATAGTCACCTTTTCTGTTATTATATTCTCCGGCTTGCATATCTATTCAATCATTATTGCCTTATTGTAATACTCTAAGTAGCACCAACACACGACATGACACAACAATTGACACGTCATTTATCAAAAAATAGAAAATTCCGACACGTTGTAACACGTTGTATATCAAATGTATATTTTTATATATACATGATAAATTATCACTTTTATGGTTATTTCAATTAAATTAATTTGATTCGAATTCACAAATAAATTAATAAGCCTAGAATGAATTTACGTTTTGATCCCTAATTTATGGAAAATGTTTAAAATTGACCCCGGCATGTCGGGATGCTGGACTCGCGTATCGTTGGCGTGTCTGGAGCGTTGACCATGTGTTGGATGTCTGACACATGTTGACCACGTGTCGGTTGCGCGTGGACGCGCGTCCGACACCGACACAAAGGCCTATGGAGAGTGTTCGTGCTTCCTAGGAGGTAATACTCATGCTGACTAAAAGATTTCCTTCCAGGATCTGGGGAGAGAGTGAGGATCAAATGGGAAACACGAAAATTCTTGCAGAAGCCAAGAATTTATGGATGAAACTCAATCTCCGAGGGGCAATCCTTACGAGCCTATCTCTGCAAGTCTTTCTCATCTTTTTTGCACCCATGCGAAAGAGGTGGTCAAACAGGTGGTTCACGATTCTCATGTGGTCGGCTTACTTGGTTGCCGACTCGGTCGCTGTATATGCCTTTGGACTCATTGCCAAAGTCCAAATCGTTGGTGGTGGTACTTCAGATTCCGAGGTCGATGCATATGGCGACCTTCTGGCATTTTGGGCTCCATTTCTGCTGCTACACCTCGGAGGACCCGACACCATAACCGCTTTTGCGCTCGAGGATAATGAGCTGTGGCGGAGGCACTTGCTTAATCTCTTATTCCAGCTAGGCACTGCATGCTATGTGTTTTACCAATACCTCCCCAGCAACAAGCTAACTGTCCCGACCGTCCTTGTGTTTATTGGAGGAACCATAAAATATATAGAGCGAACACGTGCTCTGTATCTTGCCAGCTTCAGTAAATTCCGTGGTTCCCTGCTTCCGTCTGTTGGTTTTGACCGGGATAGCCATGCTCCGATAGAGATGATGCAGGAGCCCAATATCGAATCCCGAGATGCTGGAGAGCAAAATAAAACCGATTTGGACGACAGAGAAGTGATAATAACCGCATTTTTTCACTTCACAACCTTCAAAGGCATCCTTGTGGAACTCCCCCTCCACTTGAGTCAAATGAACGAAAGCTTCGAATTTTTCGGGAGGATGATAACTGCAAAGGATGCTTTTCGGGTCATTGAGGCTGAGCTCAACTTCTTTTATGATGTTCTTTATACCAAGGCTGCCGTGGTTCAAAGTCCAACAGGGTACCTTTTCCGAGCTATCTCAATTGGTTCCGTCGTTACTGCTTTTGCACTTTTCTATGTCCTGAACAAGCATGGTTTTCACGAATATGATGTACGGATTACATACACCTTGCTCCTTGGAGCTGTTGGCCTGGAATTTGTAGCTCTTGGTAGGCTCATTTGCTCTGACTGGACAATTGCACTTTTAGGGAGATTCAAAAAACATCGTATAGGAAGCACCTTCGAGAAGTTCCTCCTCAAATTCAAATCCGAAAGGTCACCATTTGCATTGCATATACTACATGCTAGGTGGTCTAGATCAATCTTCCAGTACAATTTGATAGATTCTTCGCTGAGAAGGTCGCCGAGAAGGCCACCAACACGGATTGAGAAACTCCTTGGTCTCATCCCTCTGGGCGCATTGTTTGATGACTTGAAGCCTGGACGAGTAGAACCATACAGTGACAAATTACGTGAACTGATTTTTGATGAGCTGAAACGGAAGCAATTGGTTGCAAGAAATTTCGAAAGCAAAATGGAGATATGTGCTGCTCGAGGTGAATGGGCTCTGGAGCATTCTGAAACAGAGCAAGATTGCACAAACTTGCTTCCATTCGTCTGTGATGTCGATTATGATGAAAGCCTTTTACTGTGGCACGTTGCCACTGAGCTCTGTTACAATACTGACCCTGATGAAACTAGGAACGATCGTGTAAACAGTAAGGTCTTGTCGGATTATATGCTTCATCTTATGATCAAACGACCAGATATGATGTCTGCAGTGGGTGGGTATGGCGAAATAAGGTTCCGGTACACTTGTGATGAGATGGACGAGTTCATCAGCAAAAATCCCTCTGATGGGAGCAAAACAAAGATATCGAAGGAAAGAGCATGCCAAAGTCTCCTCTCTGGTTTTTCAAAAGTGGAGCCACGTCTACAGGAAGGAAAGATAATCAGATCTGTGCTTGCTAAAGCGTGTGCTCTCGCTAGGGTATTGCAGAATATTGAGAAGGAAAAGAGGTGGAAGATCACGAGTGAAGTGTGGGTGGAATTGCTGGGGTACGCTGCGATCCATTGCCGACCTTACAATTATGCTCAACAACTGAGTAAAGGAGGAGAACTTGTCACCTTGGTTTGGCTATTGATGGCACAGCTTGGCTTCTATCGACATTTGCGAGTAGCCGTGTCTCCAGAGACGGACCGATTGCTCGAAAATACTTGAGGGTAAAGTTGCCGAGCTAGCAAAGGATGAGAGCTCCTACCCGCAAATTCCGCTGAAAATTCTAATTGCTGGGGGATCTCACCTCGCCTTTTTTACCACCTTTTGTTTCGCTTCTTCTTGTACTAATAAGCGTGCTGCTGATTTGCTCTTGACTGCACATTGTCGTTAAAAGTGTCCCTTCCCTGTAAACTCATCCAGCTGTTCGATTTCCATAAGATCCTGCGATTCCGTGCACTTCCGGGAACCAAATGAGAGAAGCTCGTGCGGATTACATCCGAGTGCTCTGATTTAAAACTCGGATCGCAAGTTTAATATTGTACCGTTAATAGAAAGTAACATTTCTAAGTAAGAAATTATTGAATGTCGGTCACCTCGTCGAATAAAGATATATTGCGACTAAGCTGAATTTACTATAGCGGCAAAATGTGTCGAACAACACGCGATCAAATAATAAAATAAACACAAAAAAGAAATAAATCGGACGTTGGATTTACGTTATTCGGTCGACACAACCTACTCCACGGAAAGAATAGCACGGAATTCCAACAAAAATCAAGCGATACGATGGAGATTATAACTATCCTTGAGTCAACCCAAACACTTTCGGTATTTCCCAAACCCTCAACTTTACCCAATAGCTCGTATGATATTTGGCCGTCACAATTACTTGCGAAATAATCTCTCTCAATCTCACAAAGTAGTACACAAAATCTTACCCCTTCAATGCCGTCGAATTGATTCAAGGTGTAATTCACGAATAAGCGTACCTTTAGGGCCCAACTATTGCACACGCAAGGCACACCACTATGTACCGGCGACATGAAGACCAGAGCCCAAGATTGAACATAAAAATGGATTTCCAACTAAATTAGGAAATCTTGTGGCTGACTTCTAAATTAAACGAGGAAAGTGGTTTTCTTGTTTTGTTAGCAAAATTAGTCTTGGACTCTTTTAGCATGTCACGTACGAGAGTCGCACAACAGGTCGAATTTTCGCGCACTATTAGATCATGTTTCATTGAAGGGCTCAAATTCAATATATATTTTAACAATCTCGACCTTGACTCAATATTTAAGTCAAGTCACAATCGCTTCGCTGGAACCTGATAACTGCTACTCTCCCACGGCCCCTCATGGGCTCAAGTGCCATAGAGATCTTCCAAGTCCAAGCTACACTTGAATTTGACTGTAACCGTGGACTTTATCAAGACACCAACTCTACCTACAACAGTAACCGCCACACAAGAATTTGCGGACACAACCACCGTTGTGTCAATAGCCATCAAAAGATTAAACTTTGATCTTGTCAATCTGGCGAGGCCCACACCAGATCTGGGCGAGGGTCGCCTCACCCTTGATTGTCCGGAATATTTAGCCGGAATAAAAAAATAATTTAAAATTAAAATTGTCTTTGGACGAAAATGCTCTTAACCGGTTGGAATATTTAGTTGGCTAACGACTGGCAAAGTCATGCCATGATTTGAACTGTTGTGGCCACTTTAGGCCCTTTTTTAACAACTTCAAGCCCTTATTTGAGAGAGTGAATGCATTTCAGATCATTATTTGGAATTTTCCCAAAGAATGATTATGCATATATCGCCTCTTGTTCTCTTTCCTTTTATGGAGGAGGCAGCACATCTCGTATATTAGCGAAAGGGTTTTCTGAACTCGACGGAACCTTCACAATAGGCGCGTCCAACACAGAGTCAAGAATTGCATCGAGCCTCTCCTCAAAGGAAGACTTCGTCTTCTACAAGTTAGAGAGACCGCCTTAAAGTTAATCATTTGGTCAGACTATAAAACACGATATAACCGAAACGAGCAGCCTAATATACAAACAGAAAGCTGCATCAGCTTTTCGCTTCCACAAACCATTTCCAGGCTCCGAATGGAAAAGACCAAGCAAAGGCTGCAGCATGTTAAAAAATAAAATTTATGGAAAAAAGCTTCATATTGGTCAAACAAGAAACAGATGATCTATCACACCCGGCAACATTCCGAAAGCAGAGAAGCAGGAAATCTGCTTCCAAATGCTAATAATGGGAGATTTTGAAGATATCCATTGCAGATCCTCTCGGTGCTGGACTACTCTCCGCCAAGGTGTCACACTCAGATAAGTGACCTTTACAATGCCCATAGCTTAAACATCAAGCTACACACGGCCTAGACTAATGGACCTTAAATTTTTCCAACAGTCGCATTGTAAAGCAAAGGCCGCTAAAATCCATCCCCAGAACACTACAGAAGAAGAGACCATCTAGTTAAATCATTTCTTCCCATCCATACCTTCGTCACATCACGCACAGTTGGTTTCTTTCCATATATTCCAAGAACGGCATCTCCATAAACTTCATCCTCTTTTAAGGACCTGAGAATTGGATAATTGCGTGGAGGGGAATACTCGAAGCAAACAGGAGGCAGGGACTAAGCAAATAATAATATCCAGCCACATGTACAACTATACCTGATGGCGCGTGACACCACTGCTTGGAACACCATAAACAGCGCTATCTGCGTACGCCAAAGTCTGCCATGGGCTGTTAAAATTTACAACCAATTTCAAATCACTGAACAAATTTTGCAACCATAAGGCGGGCACTGCTCGGCTTAGCTAAAGATCTAATCAAGTTTGATCTACATCGTTGCATTTTATATCGTAAAAGAAAATAATACCTTTCTTCAATACCATCAACATTCCCTTGGATTATTCATCCTGTTGCTGTATCGCCCTCAAATTTCAAAGATAGATGGCGAAACTAACAGAAGCAATTAATGCAGAACTGGAAGCACCAATACATAAGAATTTGATAAAGCCGTAGCTGCTAACTATGCGGAGGCATGGATGGACCTATAAAAGTTACAGACAGCAGCGCGTCCAGCAATTACACCGTGAGCTCCTTCCAGCAATGCCGCCTTCACCTGTATACACAAATATCCATGAAAAATTGGTGAGTCACGAATGTCATGTCAAATGATGGTGCTAAAAAGTTTTACCAATAAGATGATTACACAAACTCAAGACAAAATGGCAGTTTCCCCAGCCAAAGTATCACCAAATCAAGATCTCAATCTATCCATGAGCTACTCAAGGACAGCTTAATTAGTTCGATTTCGATTAAGTTTGAACTGCGAGATAATTACGTTGAGTCAGCTTGAGTTCAATTTTTGAACTCAAGTAGCTCCTGAGCCTAATTTCGTAATTAATCTTTTGTTTTGATTTCATCGCAAGACATTTAAACATAACAAATTATCAATTATATTGTATTTATAAAACTTTAGTTTGAGCTCAAGCTCGTGTACGGGCTTGACTGAGCGGAGACTCATCTTTCATAAGATAATTGATCGAGTCTCTATTATTCAATACGAGTTGAATTAAATTAATAGTCTGTGTCAACTCAACTCAGCTCCACTACGCCTTAGATTCAGACGTGCATAGAAACACAATTACAAATCAAACTTTCCATTGGGAATGTGAAGTACATAAACCAATTTCCACGTTCATAACAGATTGATTAGCAGTTGGATTATATGATAAGCTAAACATACTGTACTGTTTCCCAAGCACCATAATTAAACCATTTAAGAAAATTCACGGAACGAAAAATAACAAACACATTAAAAAAGAAGAAGAAAGAAACAAGAAAACAAAGAACTTTGGAATCCGACGATTGTTAGCAGGGCTGATGCCATCGAGTAGTGCCTTACGAGAATGTATAATGAAATGTCTCGTTGGTGAGAGAGAAGAAACCTCATAGATAAAACCAGCTGTAGAGTAATCAAGCACCATAAAGTTAGACATAAAGGCATCAGGACAGCTCACTTAAAGGTTATGATTTTACTGAAAACTATAGTGCAAAGAACTTTCGGGTTGTAATGTGGCCAAATGAGCAAAATCAGACTTTATGAAACTTATACAGCAGTTAGTCATCTTTGGTGAAATGCCCTTGAAAACAAGTGAACCGTTTCCAAAAAGAAGGCAAACAATTGTAGTCGAGAAACTGTAAATAATTAAATATTTGTGCAATTAATATTGCTTTTGGTCCGTAAAAGCACCCCTTTTGCAATAGTTCACACTCGTATTGGATAAAGCCATCATAGCCCCAGCCTAGCAAAGCTAGTGCTTCGTAGTGGCGCTCCCTCAACCTTAACTCTAATCCTATAAGGAAGGCTCGATGCAGAGCAGTCGTAATTCAAATTAAACATCGAATTTCCTCTACGTGACCTATACAATGCCCATAGCTGAAACATCAGCGATAAATGGCCTACACGTATGGATATTAAATTTTTCCAATAATGTTCGTCGATGGCTCCAATTCCAGGCCAAGTGTAATGCGTGAACAGTGTCCGTTGTGATTTTTCAAATTTCTGTTTGTTGTTGATCAGGTTTAGTGCAGAAGGTTGGGGACCGGATTTGCATTGCATCGAATTTGTGCTGCGGTTGGTATCCTGGTTGCTCGCTGTCTAAAGTTCTGAACTAGTGTTCGATTTTGTTTCATGCGATTAATTTGCACATTTGTTGCGAAGGAATGAAGCTACTACATTGAGGTTTGATCCTGTTCTGAACTGTATTAACTCTGTCCACCGTGTGATGCTTTAAGATAATATGTTGTCCTTGCCTAAAAGTAGTTGTGAGGCCTCTTGTTAGTTGGAAGACTTGGCTTTTGCTCTTATTGATCAGGAAAGAATAGAACCTGCAAGACAATGAAAAAGAGAGAAATGTGAATGAGGCTAAAGCTAAAATTGGAACCAAACAGCGTTAAAGCATGAAGGCAAGAAGCACTAGATGACAAAAGAACTCTCCCTCTGTCTCGATCTCGACTTCAAAATGGTAGATCATCAGGGATGCTAGACAGTGACGGGTGCGACGACAATGCTTGAATGAGAAGAAAGGTTAAAGATAAAGAAGAAAGGCCAAAGTGTGATAATTAAAGAATAGAACATACATACATCCCTGACAACAGCCAAAGTGCTCGAGTTTTCATGCCTTTAATTTACAAATTT